TGCTAGGTATTTTATAGTAGTAGCTAGGATGACTTTTGAGTAGGTAAAATTAATTTGCATTAAATTAGTTCGATGATTTTAGTCCATATTAAATTTATTTAAAAGAAATACTCTTCAAATGCTCTTGATTTTAACAACAAAAGAGACACTAATTATTAATGTGAATTTGATTGATGCACTAATTTAAATGACTTATTTATTAATTTAATTATATTTTTTAACATTTGTTTTAATTATTTAATATAAGGGTAAAAAGGTAATTCAACTTTGAGCTTTGAATATATCCACTTATAATAATATATGATGAATGTTATTATGTTGATCACACTTGTTGTAAATGAAATAGATGAATGATGATTGGCCATGAAATCAGGACTTATATGTATGATCTTAAATATATACTTGTGATTGTGATCAGTGGTCTAAAAGGCAGGAGCGTGAGTAGAGGACTAAACCCCGTGACATATGGCGTAAGTCCCATGGATCTACGAGGCGTAGTCTCATGTATATTCAATTTTATACTTTTATTACTAAGAAAATTCCTTTAAATGATTTTACAAATTATTTTTTATTAAAAACCTATAATATAATTATATTATGATTTTTATTTGACATTAGTATTAATAATCTATAATAAATAAAAAAGTATTATCATTACTATTTGAGAAATATAATTACACAATTAATAATAAAACATGACTATACAAGTATAAATAATCTAACATCTTAATTTTTTAATAATAAAATAATCAATATATATATATATATATACACACACACACACACACACACACACACACACACACACACTATACAATTTACCACCCCACCCCCCAACCTTAAAAGAAAATAATCAATAAACTTACAAGTATTATAGTATAAATATCACTCTTTCATGAATAAAAATAAAATTACTCTAAAATAGTTAAATAAAATATGATAATTTTGAGACATATCATAAAACCATGAAGACCAATGATAAACTGAAAAAGAAAAAGTTCGCTACAGTTTTTAAGTGAAATGTTACGTAATATATAATTACCTTCATAGTGTTATCAAATAGTAGATATGTGATAATACATTGTTGTTTGGGTTACTCTCAGTCTTGTTATATTTATAAATTTAAAAGTTACGTATCATTAATTTATTCAAGAATTATGAGGGTCAACACTGTTAAAAAAAGATTTTAACACGTAATTTTTGTGTAAAATCTGTTAGGCGAGACTCGATTGTTGGGCGTTGGGCGTACAATCGGGCTTTTAGGGCGTATTCTTGTAGAATTAAGTCCAACACTTGAGCCTCAAGGTGTTTTTCTGGAGTCCCGCCCCAGAGCGAGTCCTAGATGGGTCTTTTAAAACATTGATTGTGATTGTGTTGTGTTGAATAAATCAGTTGTCACGTTCTAGCATAATTAGTTATGGGATCGATTGTCATGTTCTAGATAACTATTGGATCGGTTGTCATGTTCCGGCATAACTATTGGATCAGTTGAAACATTTCGATATACATATTGGATCACTTTCCACATTTTGGCATGAATAGGAGATCTGTTTCCACGTTTTGACATGCTAACTGTTTCAGTTTGGGTTCCATGAGAGGACCAACGATGTGATATAAAAGGTGAAATTGATTGTAAATGTTGATGATATTGTATGTGTTGATATATATGCATGCGATTATAATAGTTTCTTAACTTGATTATGTTGCGCTAGTGGGATAGCCTCATGATCCTACCAGTACACTATAGTTGTATACATATTCTGCACTTGCTCTTATTTTTGTTGAGTACAAGGCATCTTCACGCATTTATTAACATACCTCTCTTAAAAGATCAATGATCATCGCTTCGAATTCAAGGGAGAGCCCATTCTTTCAGTTAGCCATGGAATTCTCTTTCGTCTATGTCCACGATTTCCAGACTTAGACATTTTTTATAGTTAGTTGATTAGTTCATTAGTTTGTTGTCGTGTCCCTTCTTTTTTAGACTTGGTTCATTGTTTAGATGTTTTGGTATTGACTTTAAGGTTATAGAATTTTCTTCGCATTTAAAGTTATACTAGGTAATTTACACATGTTTCGCGCGGGAATAAGAAATCTTTCTATCCTTTTAAACAATTTTACCAATAATTGACTGTTATAAGAAAAAAATGTAAATTTTTATATGTTTTTAGAACATTTCTAGAGATATTAAATAAATTAAAATTATCACATATCTCAAAAATTGTAAATGTATAATTAATGATTAAAAATAACTTGATATCTAATTATTTTAATCTTTTACATAACTAAACATATTAATGTGTGATGGTATAATTGTCTTGTTAAACTGAGTGATGTTTTAATGTAGCGATTAAAAATTTCTTTTTATTTATACATGAAAACTATAGAATTTGATAATTTTATGGTTATCATAACTCCTTGTTTAAAATTTTTTATGTGAATTTTTTTATAACAAATATTAGTAATAAATGAATTAAGACCGAAAAATGTACATCGCAACCACATAAATAATATTTTTAGAGACAATCCAATTTTTGTGGTCAAATGTTCACCTATTTTCATTATTATTACTTTGATATTATAACAAAAAATTTTACAAAAGGAGAAAAATATATTTGGAACTACAATAAAATAATATTGTTGACCCTTATAATAATTCATTCTTCATTGAACAACGGAACGCCTTTTCGAATGTTTCATCAATGCAACTTTACAACTTTTTCTGGAATATTTATGTGTTATTGTTACATTACGAAAGTACACATAGATTAAAATGTTATTCTTGATTCATGTTAAAGAAACATTCTCAAACAGTAAAAAATTAAAAATGATTCTAAACATAGATAATTCATATACTCAGCAATAATGGGACATGAAGGATAACAAATCTATGTTAATAGAGATATCTTTTGTAGCTTGAGATATTAATTTTATTCAGAGTAGGTTTTGTTTCATATTCTTCAAATTAATCTTGACAAAAATAGTCATAACTTGTGCCAAAAGTATTTAGAACAACTCAATGATAAAGGAAATAAACATTAAAAGGACGAAGATCTTTGTCATAGTTAGATTAGATACATACCAAACAAAAAATAATCAATACAATTGTATGGAGACAACAAAAGAGCAAGAAAAACACATTAAACAGAGTTAGCTATGAGATATTCAATGATGATAATATATTTTTCTAACCAGAAAAGCTCCTATGTTTTGAAATAAGATACATAAAAGAATTGACTAACACTTCAATCAACTTTCAATCCTTAGAGTACCTATAATATCCACTGATAAAATTTAGTAATAATATACAACAACACAAAAATAAAAAAATATAGGCATGCAAAGTTATTAACTCTCAAAGGATTGTCTGAAGAACACAAAATCACATTCTTATTTGTGAAGAAATAACATTGTTGATTAAGAAATTTGATGGTAGAGAAAACTTGCTTGAATATTAATTTAACAGTTGTTATTTGATCTGTACTATCAAATACTAACAACAATAATCTTTCATAAACATAAACAACAAATTTTAAAGTGTATATTAAAAAACAACAACTAATAATATAAGATTAAACTAATGGTTGTAAAAGACATACCACGATATGCAACGATAGAATCAAACACAATGAAAAAATTGAGCCAACCGATTGCACAATGTAGTCCTCTTTTTATAGACACCAACGGTAGTGTACAAGTATGATTATTGTGTCTTATTGAAAAGGTCACAACTCCTTGGAAAAGTTACAACCTTTCGGGAATGTCACTACATCTCGTAAAAGTCACAACTCTTCATAAAGTCACAACTTTTTCATAAAAGTCACAATCTTCTCGAAAAAAAAGTTACAACTTTTCATGAAAAAGAGAGTCTAGTTTTGAAAATAAAATAAATTTGAACAGAATTATGGTTTGTGCAATGGCGGAGCTACAGCTTCCCAAGGGTGTCCAATTAGACACTGTATATACAAGCAAAATGCTACTTGTGACGGTTAAAAAATTTAAGTTGGACATATTGTGTATGTTGATGTGCTTTGGCCCAACGGTTTAAAGCTCTTGCCCACTTTGAGATTGTGGGTTCAAATCTCCACAACTACAATTTTAAATACAACACTTCTATTTTATTAGGTTTACTAGCTAATTGAATTTCAAAAAATTTGACATCTTATTTCTTCCCATTATATTTTTAAATAAAATTTAATTTTAAATACAATTTATTTTATTATCCATTAACTTATTTCTTTAATTTTCTAAACTAATTAACATTCTTAATTAAAAATTTAGGTTTAGTAGCTAACTGAATTACATGAATGAGTTTTTATTTCCTCTGATTAAAATTTGAAATAAAACTAATATGTAATTATTTTATTTAAAGTAAGTAAACAAACTCTCTATTTCTATAAAACCGTTAAAAGGGAACAAGAGAACACCGATCATTTGATTTGCTTCCATTATTCATGTCTCGTTATTGTCGTCATAACCATAGATTAGTGAACGCTTGAACTTAGAAATGGTTTCATGTTAAGCTTAATGCTCCCCTCTTCTTCTTCTTTTTTTTGCTTTGTTCTTTCACTTTATATTAAATTAAATACAAATGTTATAGCTAATATTATGCATTTTGATTTTTAAATTTTGGAACATTTATTCGTAAAAAAAGTAATATTAATATTGTGTAATCTAATTTTAATTTTTTCAATGCATCTATTCATCGAAAAAAAATACTAATGTAACATTTGAACACCCTTCATAAAATTCCTTGATTCCCCACTGTGTTTTAATCTAACAACCCTTTTGGTCGTTTTAAATACTAGAACTTTTTATGTCAGAAAATACTTTCCGATAGATTTAAATGGGTGTTTTGAACTATTCATAATTATAATTATGAAATTATTGAAGTAATTTTAATAATTTATTTAATGGGTAATTAAAGAAGATAATAGTGAAATAAATAGTATGTTACTTTTATCACTTTTTATAATTGATTATATCATAATTAGGGTAATAAATAGTGAAGAAAATAAAAGCAGCGGAGAAGGGTAGTTTGTCGCATCTCAAGAAGGAACGCTACAGGTACATAATCTATGCAATTTCCCTACATATTGGTTATAAAGATTTTGTTCTTAGATCACGATTAATCTTTCAAGATTTTATTTTTCACATATTAATGGTTGGGAGAGGGGTTTTTTAATTATTTTAATATGAGAATGATGATTATAAAAGTGTTAATTATTACAAAAGCAAAAGGCGAATTGAAATTCCTCTCTGCAACCACGTGAGGATTGATTGGAAAATTTAGGTCAAACATTAATTGTGTGATGGAAGGGAGGATTGATTATTTTATTAGTAGGTTAGTATTTAGTGTGTATAGGTTTCATGTATAATTGTCGTATATGGTCATATGTGTGGCATCAAATTTTGTTGGATTTCTGTTTGAACAATCTGTCAACAAATATATGCACTAATATTTATAAATGCCAAGGTGAATTAAGGTAAGGGTCATATTGTTATTATTATTATTAGTATTAGTGTTATTGAGAGAGAGGAAATTGGCTTCATGGTGTTGCTAGCCTGCCACTGGTTTTGTAACCAGTGGCCTAATTTTAATATTAAAATTTTATTATGATATAAGAAATCAAAGTTTGATATATTGAGATAGATAATTAAATATTTGGTGTATTATACTATATGATTATTATTAAAATTGTGCTAAGTGGAAGAATTAAGACTTACTCTTAGGTTTGAATTTTAGGAAATATATATATAAAGTTAGGTGAATTTTGGGTCTAGGCTAGACATAGAGTAATATGATGTTTGTAGACTCGTTAACTTACAAATATGCATATATATTTGATAGATTGGAAAGGTTCAGAAGCATTGAGGAAAGGAAAAGTATTGTAAAAGTAGCTTGCGTGACTCCGGTTCTTCGGTGGAGGTAGGTTATGGTTTATGCTATTTGATAGTAAACTCTTAATAGTGATTGATATGCATTGAATGATATTGTGAAGTTTTCTATGTACTTAATTGTCTGATTGTGTGACTTGGTCGTGTGTTTTGTGATTGGTCTGAAATCCCGAGACCGTAGAATATATAATCTTAAACCATTTCTATCGAAGTAATGCCTTGAATAAAGAAGGCTAAATGAAATATTATTAACGAATGGAAAAGTGGTGATACTAAATGATAAACTAATGATATTATAGGATCGGAGTGTCACGCTCCGACACGATATTCTTAGATCGGAGTGTCACCTTCCGACATGGTATTCTTGGATCGGAGTGTCACGTTCTGACACGGTATTCTTGGATCGGAGTGTCACGTTCTGACACGTTATTCTTGGATTGGAGTGCCACGTTCCGACACGATATTCTTGGATCGGATTGTCACGTTCCGACACGATAATATTAAAGGAAAAACATGTTGAATTAATGGAAGGTACTCAATCTCAAAGAACTCAACTCCCAAAATGGTTTGGTTTGGAGGCATGAGTCGTCATGTGTGATATTGATATCATTGACTTATTACGAGCTTACTTTAATGTTTTTGATACTTGTTCATGTTGTTTGTTGTTTGTCACCTGTTAAGTGCTATAGTTGAGTTCATACTATTATTATTGTATATTAGTTACTATTTTGAGTTGACCGATGATACTTACTGAGTACATGTTGCCTCGTACTGAGCCCTACTTGTTTTCTTCTTTGTTTTCCTTTTATGAAATGCAACGAGTGTACCTATGATTTTGATTTCCCTCAGTTCTAGCCAGCCTTCCGCATATCAAGTTCTAGGGTGAGCTATCCATTCAAGCTCGTGTTGGATTCTCTCGGTCATGACATGATGTCCTATACTTTCGGACACATACCATTTTATTCTTTTATTTTAGTGTATTCGATATTCTTAGACTTAGTATTGGAGATTAGATGTCCTTGATGTGATGTCTATCAGATTTAGGGAGGATAAGTATTAAACTTTAGAAACTTATTTAAATTGGTTGCTTAGTATCTTTTGGAGCTTCCGCATTATTTATATTATTTATAGTTGAACTATTGGTATATGTTGGGGTTTATATGTGTTGGTTCGCCCACCTAATGAGGTAAGTGTGGGTGCCACTCACGAATCATTTTGGGTCGTGACATTTTGGTGGCGCCACATAGGCGGTCATAGGGTTCTCTTATATATATATATATATATATATATATATATATATATATATATATATATATATATATATATATATATATATATATATATCCTATGCCTGCCTATGTGGCGCCACCAAAAACACAGTGGGGAAGCTAGGAATTTTATGAAGGGTGTCCAAATATTACATAAGTTGTATATATATATATATATATATATATATATGGAAACTCTATTTTATTTCCTTAGAATTCGACTTAATTGCCTGAGTTACAACTTTAGTTGCTTCGTTTTGGCTGTAATAGTGGTTCTCCCACCGGAGTGTTAGTGTGGGTATCAATTAGGACGGTATGAGTCGTGACATTTTTTATTTGTGTCCATATACAAGATTTGATTGCTGATTGATTTTTTTTTCTTTTACTAGAACAAGCAAATGCATCATAATTTTCCCCTTATTTTGGGGGCTTCACTTCATGAACAACCCAACAAACTTTACATGACACTTAATAGGAAACGACTAGTTGTGGAAGCACAATCATTAATGCAGAAGATAATGGAGAACTTACTATCTTACAGAATGAAGGTTGCAATTCATTGTAAGGAGTGCATTATTTAGATCGTCAAATTATTCTTCTTACTTTAAGTGGATGATATACTTATATAGCACCATAAAGAATTTTGTCTTCATAAAAACTCATTAAATTGTTTGACTGATGAAGTGGTTTCATTATCAAATTGGTGAATCCCGACTTTGAGTAGGCAACACTATTCCAATAAATTCTGAGAACTTGAGGGAAATAGTTATGGAGGTATGCAAATACTTTTAGAGAGTTATTCTCAGTTGAAGTTTTTTATGTGGTTATGACTTTTTTTTAGAACGTAGCTATGTTTTAATATTATGTTTTTTTACTCCGCATGGAGAAGGATTCTATTATTGTCCTTTTATTAATACGAAATGATAGTCATATTAACAAATATTAAGCAGTTTCGATTATGAGCATGTTTGCCTAATAAGATGTTTGTTTCTTTTGTAGATGGAGTATCTTCCGATTTCCTCATGGGAAACATCACATATGATCATGAGTGATTTTTTCAAGATATGGAAGGAAACTCTTGGAAAAAAGATCATTACTGGGTTATTTTATGCATGTTGAACCAAAATTTTCAGAGTTTGGCATCTCTGATCAATACACTTCTCAACACACTGTTATACAATATGCTAGCATCTTGGCTCAAATGACAGCAACATCTCAATCATCACAAGCAACAAGAAATTAGAATTTTTTGTTGACATTATAATATTTTTCCTTAGCTTCAAAAATGAGTTTTAATATGTTCATAAATACATTGGGGATATGCACATTAATAGTAAGCAATCTACTATGATTTCATATAAACGTAATTTCTTTCTATTTTTAGTGGGTGATATGGAATCTTAAATGGTTTCTTTCATTTATGAATTGTTCTTTAAGATTATATACTTTTAAGCTTTGGAGAGTAAAACTTTTTTGCTCGAAAGGAAATATGGTATATATGTTATTATTACTATAGGAAAATAAAGCATTTTAGATAATTAATTTAGAGAGGAATTTTGTCAAACTTTTATCATGATTCCACATCTTATAATCTCCTTTTTCCCGTTAATTTATATCATTTCATTATGAAAAGAAAATCAGCACAATAAAAAAATATGGCAGTGGGTAGGTGGTGCGTTGTGAGAAACTCATAACCAGGGTGGTGTAACAGAGTTTTATTTAAGACAAAACAATTTTTTTGAATATCAAAAGCAAGATGAAGTGGTAGGCTAGTTAAATTTAGAAAAAGATCAGAGAAGAGAATACTAAATTATATAGAGTTTGTCATGTGGGTTAGGGTTGTTATAAGTAGAACCATATGGAAAAAAAATGGGACGGAGTAGGTAAAAACTTTTTCCAAGTTATTAAGAACCATTGTAACCCCACCCTGTATTCCGAATTACCAAAGTCTACAAGTAAAGTGTTACAAGAGCTCTTCCTAGAGGATAGGTACATAATATGAAGCTAGACGAAGCAAATCTAGCTCATCATCATTTTTGAACTCAATGATTGTACCTTTATCAACAAATATAATAGGGGTTCAAACCAATAAGTAAAATATAATTTTGCACCAAACATGGAATTCAATAAGTATTTATGTATGATAGAACATGTAATGATATTTTCCTTTGAATGAGCTTGTATAAAGTTAATTGTAGTGATGTTGGTTGCTAAAAGTGATTGTAATAACAAAGGTGGCTGGTGATTGGCGACAATAATGGTGATGGTTAGTGATTGTGGATAGAGTGGTAATTACCCACAAAGGATATGAAGACTTTGTTCAAGATTTTGATGATTTAAATGTTGAAATCTTAATGATAACAAATGTAATCTATGACATAAGGTCTAAATCATTCAGATTCAAACATTCATTAAGTTTCGTAAAATTATATATGAATGAACTAGCATTGGAACTACTAGAAGAGTTAATATTGTTATGTTGAATTATAAATAATCAATGTTTGATATGACAGTGTGTGGTTAATATGACAAAGTGACAATAGCGCTACTGGCCCTACAAATGTTGCAAAACCGATCATTCCTTTTTATATGGTGATGAGCATGAGATTTTAAAATATAGGAGACAAATCAATATTGAAGAGATGAATAGAGAGTCAGATGCTATTTGGTGAAATGCAATCAATAGCTTGCATTCTACAAAAGGGAAATCAAAGAATTATGTAGTTCCAAGCTATGTCTGAAGTCTCAAGTTCAGAAAAGATTTCATATTTAGAGTGGTAAAAGTTAAATTTCAAGAAAATAATTCACGTAGTTTTTATGACATAGGTGGTTATTAATGGTGGTTGGTGAGTGTGATTGTGAATATTATTCACAAAGAATACAACTGAGACTTTGTTCACGATTTTAATGATACTGAGACTTTGTTCAGAAAACCCCACTTATTATAAGATGCATTCTTAAAAAACACTTAAAATATAGAAGTTCATACCATAGTATTTGGCAGGAAACTAGGAAATACAAAACAAAAGAATAAATCGGTAGCTAATAATAATGCAAGTACAAGATTTATCGATTGATTTTTCTTTAAGTTTGTTGTGATAAAGGAAGTTCACTTCTTTTATGCCATGATCCCAGTAGACACACTCTTATTTTTTAGGTGGAGTTTGAAGCTTCTTGCTTCAGGTGTATCCTTGTTAAGTCATAGCCTGCTCCAACTCCCACTTTACCTTTCCCTCTCCATAATTGGGAACGTGTGACTTCCATCTAAGTTGAATGTCCTTGAGCGTCATATATCCATTCATCTTTTCGCCGCAACAAACAACATCAAACTGCACAAAATTATATAAAGATGATTTAGTGGCAAAGCAGTATTGTGACAATATTTTCAGCATATCTTCACGTAGAATATAATAAGATTCTGTTTGACTATCCTATTAATGTTTGTTTCGTCTTTCTAATTCGAGATCATCAACTGTTTTAACATAGGTTGCTTTATCTATGTTAAGCAAGCATTAGTATATGAATGCCTTATATTGAATTTTATATAACTAACTAGTTGAAGGAAATGCATAATTAGCTTATAAAATCATTACCTCAGTATGATCATTCAAATTTAGCTTCTATGCAATGAACTTCAGGATTAAAGTTACAATGACGTTATTGTCCCTGCAAATGATGTAGAATCACTCATTTCACTTTACGTGTTGATGAGCATAAGTTTTAATCGATGTTGTGTATGGAAAATCTTACTTGAGATGGATATTAGACCTGTCAATGGGAGGCAATCTAAGTCCCTTCCTGCCAAGAGTAAAGAACTAATAAACTTGAGTCAGATCAATAAGACAAGAAACTTATGAGTGATGTGGCTGGTACTTAGTTTCCTCCATGTGGTACAAGTTTAAACCAGAAAGAGGAAAGTTCCTTCTGTATTTCGTACAAATCATAGTTTTCCTATGTTGAAGAATCTCTTTCTTCAAGACCAGTATCTTGACTTTTCTCGCATGCTTTTCTATTCTTGCTCCTCTTTTTCTTCTTATGCTCTTTGATATTTTCCACTATAATGGACTTTCCTATATCATCATTCATGGTTGATACGCTTTTTGCAAAAATATAATCTCTTATATTGAGGTTATGCAAAATATTTCTAAGTAACAGTCCAATATATGGCGGAATCATTTTTAAAACATATACGCCAAAGAACTGAGTATTACCTTAGCTACAGACATAGTTGACGGGAAAGTTGAGGTTTCTTCTGTGGAAATGTGATGGACCATTAGGGAACTTGTGTCCTCCATTTTGTAAATTTAATTAGAATAATTAATCTGACTTAGTTGATGAGAAATTAGAAAACAATTACGATTAGAGTAAAGCTACACCACTGAAGCTTTTTTTGGAACCAAAGAGTTTTTAGAGCTCACACAATAGGTTTCATTGAACAAGAATATAAATAATATTGATAGCAAGAAGAAATATGCTGAGTGATTGTCTAATTTGCACCTATGGGAATGGATACGAAGGTTCAAATCCCATTGAGAAGAAAATATAGGGTGAACCTAGGTTATGTTTGACCTTCTCTTAATACATTAAAAAAAAATTATTCTTGATCTATTGATATTTTTTTTGATATATTAAGAGAAGATCAACCCCATGTTGAATCTATCACTTGAGTAACAAAAAAAAATCGATTAAAAATTTGATCTATTAAGAAAATATTTCAAACTAAGTTGAATCTGTCACTTCAGCACTAAAAGGTAAATCAATAAAAAGAGATTTATTCAGAGACCCTCAAACCTAACCTAATTTGATCTTCCATTTGAGCAGAAAAGGAAAATCAATAAAAAAAATATTGATCTTTTGGGAAAAGTTGAAACCTAAGCTAAATTGAATTTGTAACTTAATCAGCAAAGAAAAAGTAATTTAAGATTAATTAACTGAGCAGAACTCAAATAGAATTTGTCACTTAAGTAGCAAAGGAAAAATTAATTAGAAATGTAAAGCTCATAGCAAACTTAACTTGAATCTGTCACTTGAGTAATAATGAAAAAATCATTAAAAATAATCTATGAAAAGAAAATTCATGACTAACCTAAGTTGAGTCCCTGAAAATAATGTAAACATCAATAGTGAATCGAGACGTCAATTAAGGTTAAGTCTGGATCAAGTCGTATTTTAATAGGTCCGTGCTAAAATTTATAGAGCCCTTTAAAAATACGGCTCTTTAGCCCAACCTGGATAAGCCCATTAGCCTATGGAGCTTGAACAATATGACTTGGGCCAGCCCGTGCGGCAAATAAAAAGTTAAAATAAAATGAAAGTAAAATAGATTTCTAAAACTGACAAGAGGAATTTAAACTTAAAGTCTTAAACCATGCATATAAATATCACGAAGTTAAAATATAAAAATTACATTTTTTGTATGATTCTTGATTTTATTCTTCATCTTTTAACTTGGTTTTGATGTGCTTGAGGCGAGAATCTTTCTAAAATAACTTATCTACCTCCATGAGGTAGTGATAAGGTCTACGTACACTCTACCCTCCATAAATCTCACTGAATGAAGTGTTGGGAATGTAGCAAGAATTGATAGGAAATAAAGGGAAGGAGAGGAATTTGAAAAGTTTACAACTTGAAAGGTTGGAAACTTGAAAAGTCCTCTAATGCTTTATTGAAAAAGGCAATAGTCCCTCATCGGTAATGGAAATGAAAATAAAAGAGTTTAAATAAATAAACACTCCTATTAATTGTTAAAAGGGTTGGAAAGAGGGACCCCCATCGCGCCGTCGTCATCGTCGCTCGCTCCGGCTTCGGCTACGGCTACGGCTTCGGCTTTGGCTTTGGCAAATGATCGAGACATAATTTTTTGGACAAATTTATTTTAATTATTTATTTAATTTATTTAATGGCCAAAAATTATTTTCAATTAATTAGTTGATAACAGAAGTTAACCGAAATGTTTTCAATTTTTTGGTTAACCTGACCCGATTCAGATCCGCGCGCGTGACCCGTTTGAAATTCCATTATATTTAAAAAAATTCCCGCCATGACTGTTCTGAAAGGTTGCAACTTTCAGAAACAATCAATA